TAGAGAGACGGAAGAACGGTATCGCGCTCGGTATCTTCAGATGGAAGACAAGTTTCGCCTCGACAAGCGAGAGATTCAGAATGAAGTTGAACAAGTTAGTCGGACAGGGCTATACTGAAACTTCACTACCATTATTCTTTGTTCAATAGTAATTTTTTCAGCTGGAGGAGGAACTTTCACGGTTGCGACAGGTTGAGACATCCACCAAAAACAAAGCTATGTTGCTTGAGCGTCAGAACACTCGACTGCTAGAAGAAAATCGAGAACAGTCTGAAGCTATAGGTCACTTAGAGCAGCTTAACAGGCAACTTCGTACGGAATTGAGCAAGGTAAATCATGATGTTTTATTATGTGCTTACTTCGTTAGGATTGACGCAGCTATTTTTGATTACATCTTTCTAGGCCATGCAACCTCGCCCCGTAGAGGACAATACCCAGTTGATTATGTATAAACAAAAACTGGAAATTGTTGTTGCTCACAACAAGGTATGCTGTTGTTTGTCTCGTTCAAAAAAAATATGATGTATATGTTATTTTTCCAGCGATTACGGGAGAGAATTCAAGATCTTACTGCTTCTCAAAAGAAAAAGTCGAAGGCTAATGATGGTGAACCGTTCTCATTGAAATGGAGTGGCGCATTCCGAAGCCAGGTAAATTTGCCGCTTTTTTGTTTATAATCTTAGATCAACTAAAAGGATTCTCTATAAATTTGGTGTTTCTTTGCAGGTAATGTTGATTAGGAAACGAAGGTTAGCTAAAGGAGACACTCTTTCTGAAATGGAAAGCGAGCCCGAATCTATCTTCGTGCGGCATCGTCGGCGAAAGCTTTTGAAAAGAAAGGAGAGAAAACTGAGATACGAACGAATTGCTTCACGCATTCTAGTGCAAGATTCAGGTTAGCTTCTCAGTTCACCTTCTGTGCAGCAAAGCTGCTCTTCAAAAAAATCGCATATAGTTGCTATCGAATTCTTTTACCATAGATGAAACAGAGTCATCGAAAGCAACTGGCGCAGACAGTGGCCGTCTTGGGAGCGAGCTGAATCGTCTGCGAAATGATCACAAACAGGAGTTGATCGCCGTACGACAAACAGCAGCAAAAACCCTGGCTGAGGCGCTAAACGATCAGCAGAAGCAACTTAATTTACAGTATGTTTGATGCCTTTAATGTGTTGCTGTGTACTGTTTTTTCTCAAAGATAATTTGTACGTGCTTCTATGTGTTTGTTATTCAAGATTGGAGCGAGAGCGACGACAGTGGGAAGTGCGGCTTGTAAGTGAGAAGAATCAGTTGGAGAAGAACTTTGCCGAGGAGAAGATGAAGCTGATGAATCGGTTGCAGGTCAGTTGTCACAGTTTCTTAGAAAAAAGAATTATGTTTTCCACGGAAATTAGCTGAAGCGGTAAAAGCATTATTTACTAACTTGATATCAAAAGTACCTTGAAAGGTACAAATGAGAAAAATATTTTGTCAGGAGGATTTTGACGCAGAGTTGCAACGCATATCATCTATCGTCAACCGACCGGAGAACGGTACTGCCGCTGAGCATTACAAACGTCAGATTAAGGTGGCTTTCAATGTTTAAAAGGTTGAGGTCTTATTTGTGATTGATTTTCTTTTAAGACTCTCGAATCTTCTCTCGAAAGCCAAAAGAAGAGTTATGAACGACGATTGGCTGAGCTTCGAGAGCGATTCAAAAATTCACTTCGTTCCCACAACAATGTTTACCTCTCCGAAAGCAGTACACCGAACTTCTTCTCTCTCGTAGAAAAATACAAGTCAGTTTTGTCCGCTTTTTCTCATTGAATAATTTTCGTGTATTCTTGGTGTGCGTTTTAGTATTTTGCCTAAGTGGGCCTATGTGATGCCTTAAATAAGAAAAAAGTTCAGGTGCACCCTTCATTGTATGTTTATTCAGAAATGCCGGCCCATCTCCCTCGAACGCCATCGAACCATATGTTACCTCGCGATCATCGCTCAGTGTGGAAAAGCGCAGCCAACCCGCCAATCATCCTTTCCAACGAGTGAGTATCTCCTTATCATGATTTCTTATTTCCAAAGGGATGTCTTTGGGTTTGAAAGTCTGTTCGGCGCTGC